AAGTGATGCCATTTTCAATCTTCTTCCTTCCTTTAACCAATAGTTGTTTTAGTACTTGATTTCATCTTTTTCTGCAGCACCATGTGGAATCATTAGATTCTAAACATACCTCCTTGATTCCAGATGGGCAAACTCCAATTTTGTCTTTCAATAACTTGAACTGATCAGTACTCAATCCCTTAGTGAATATATCTATTAGTTGCTGCTTTGTGGGACAATATTCCACTGATACTTCACCATTTTTGATAGCTTCTCTGATGGCATGAAACCTTATTCTTATATGCTTAGTTCTGCCATGATCAACTGGATTTTTAGCCATTGAGATTGCAGACTTATTATCAATCTAGAGTGTTGTTGGTTGTTCACAGTTAAACATTAAATCTTGGAGAATCTTTCTTAGCCAAATAGCCTGGTTTGCAGCTGAGGTTGCTGCCACATACTCTGCTTCTGCAGAGCAAGATGATATTGGGGCGAGGAATAGTGGCAGATGTTCTCACTAGCCTAATGTTTTTTTGTGGAACGATTTCGGAATTGGTTCCTGATTATTTGACAGAACGTATTGAGCTTTGGCAAGAGAGATTGAAGAACTATTTCTTTCCCAACATTCGCATCACATTCAATGAGTTCGCTTCTGGCCTTTACCATCGTAGCGACGCATATATCGCTATTGAGTACTACCTTAGCTCCAAATCTGCTACACAAGCAACCAGGTTGAAAGCAGAATCTTACAAAAGAAAGGCACCTCTTTTATTTTCCTCAGACCACTATGAGGATATCGAAGATGGGTTTAAAGGCATTAAGGTTACGTGGTATAAGGGAAACCTTCTCCTAAAAAGAAGATAATATATAATCAGGCTCCTAATGATAAGAATTATTACACTCTTGTGCTTCATCTAAAGATCAGGACATTGTCATGGAACGATACTTGAATCATGTTTTGCAAGAGGTAAAGCCATAAAGAAAGAGAGGAGGCAACAAAAGCTTTACATGAATAGTGACGATGGCTGGGATTACACATTGTTGGAACATCCTGCAAGTTTTGATTCTTTTGCTATGGATCTTGAGAAGAAAATTGAGATAATCAATGATCTTATAGCATTCAGTCAGGGAAAAGAATATTATTCTAAGATTGACAAGGCTTGGAAACGCGGTTATTTGTTATGCGGTCCTCCAGGAACTGGTAACTCTATTTTGATTTTGGCCATGTCTTTTTGGGTTACAATATATATGATTTTGAATTAACCAAAGACAATGCCTATTTAAAGATTTTTTTGATTAACTCATTACGGAAGAGCATTTTTGTGGTTGGGGATATAGATTGTTCACTTTATATTACGCGAAAATGCTAAATAAGGAAGATAATTCTGATTCTAATGATAAACATAAAAGTAAAGTTACGGATTTTTAAATTTTGTCGATGGAATTTGGTCTGCTTGTGGTGGAGAAAGGATTATTGTGTTTACGACCAATCATGTTGACAAACTTGATCCAGCTTTGATCCGAAGGGGATGAATGGATATGCATATCGAATTATCTTATTGCACTTTAGGAGGCTTTAAGGTGTTGGCAAAGAATTATTTGAACCTTGACTCACATCCTCTCTTTGAAAAAATTGGAAACTTGTTGGAAGAAGTAAATATGACTCCAGCAGAAGTTTCTGAGCATTTGCTACACGGCAGACTGGGAAGAGATCCAAAGGCTTGCTTGGAAAGCTTGATAGAAGCCCTTGAAACTGCCATGGAAGAGAAGATTGAGGAAGAAGATGCTAAAACCCCTGAAACTTCTGAGGACAAGAAGACTGAGGAAGAAGATGCTAAACAAAAACGAGGAATAAAAAGTATAATGCGTTTTTTTTAAAAGAAAATGTCCAATTAATTAATATTACATGACAGCAGAGATATGAAAGCTTAACTATAGCTATTGAGCATGTAAACTACAGCAATCATCCACCTGGAATTTTATTGAATCCAATGGAATGGATATATGAACACGAGTTTTAAATTGGATTCAATAATCAAGGTTAGTTAATATAAGAACATGAGTCCAAACAAAAATAAGAAGATGGCTCGCACTTATAAAAGTGAAGCAACTAGCTGAAAAGCAAAAATGAAAACAGGAAGGGAAGAAGAGAACTGCACCTGGCAAGTTTGAATAGTAAATCAAGATCCAATTACTCAGAGAAATCATTTTCCAGATTAAACCAAATTTGATGCAATGAAAATCTGCAGCAGTTTACCTCTTTCTCTGCAGTAATTGCATGACTTTTTGTCCTACAACAGGTTGAAAACAAGTATTGCTGCAGTAGCTGCTGAAAATTCATCGTGATTTTCTCTACCAAGTCATTCAGCTATTAAGCTAAACATCAATCAATGTATCTAAGGAATACATGGAGAATCTTTACGAAGTTGCCTTAGCTGTTTTGCAACATCAGTTATCGTTGGCCGGTCTTCTGGATTTTCCACGGTGCAACTAAGTGCTATCTTTGCAAAAGCTACCAATTCATCACGATTGATTCCTTCACTTGAAATTTTGTGATCAACAATTTCAATTAACCGATTGCTTTCAACATAGGACTGCACAAATTCTTCTACAATGGCATCCCCTGCAGCATAATATTCAGGAACATTGTTTCTTCCAGTCAAAAGCTCAAACAAGAGTCTGCCAAAACTATAAACGTCAGCCTTTTCATTTATTTTTGAACCTGTCCAAACTTCTGGTGCCATATACCCCGTTATGCCGGAGATAGCATCTTCTACATGGGATTTGCCCTCTGGAATGGCTATGGAGAGTGAGAACTCACTAAGCTTAGCAACATGATTTGAATCCAATACTATTGATATCAGTGAGAGACCTCGGTGAATAATGGGTCTGGATAAAGCAGTATGGAGATATGCAACTGCACTAGCAACATCCATTGCGATTCTTAGTCTAGATTTCCATGTTAATGGCTCAAACTGCCCCTCATGAACATCCAAGATACATTTCTTGAGAGTTTTTTCACCACCAAATTCGTAAACAAGAACTGGATTTTGAGTTTCTAAGCAGCATCCAATGAGCTTTAGAACATTCTTATGAACACTCATCTGTGAGCCAATAACAATATCTGTAATAGCCGTTTCAAGATATTTACTTTCCCCAATTTTATACCTTTTGACAGAAATTTCACGGCCGTCCAGAAAACCTTTGTATAACACGAAATGAACATACCTTGAAATTTCTTGTTCAACATTGAAACCGTTTGTTGCTTTGCTCAGTTCCTCAGCAGAGAAAGTACGAATAGGATTACATTTACCATTACAAGAGGCAATAAGCTTTTCCAATAACATGCTTCCATTCTTCAGCAATGGTCCCTCATCTTTGGTTCGTGTCCTTCTTGTGAAACTCGAACACATCTTCCCTTCCTTCTAAACCAACCAAGCAGACAATCAGATTAAAGAAAAAGCACGGCATACAGTGCAGAAAGATACAATAACAGAGGCTAATATACATTGCATATCAAAGTCTTCAGACCACCATGGAAAGTAATTTGATTTTATTTGTTGTGATTAACAGAATTATGATTGTTCAGATTACAAGACTGAAAACAAAATTCTAGTAGTCCTGGTTTGGAAATCCAGGTTTTGTACTCAAACTATAGTTGTGGTCCAAGCCTTCTGCAACTCAACCACAGTGCAAATTTTAGCCAGAGTTTCATTCATGGTTCCCAGGAATACAACATGTTCTACAGAGCAGCCAATGATAATTTTTACCTTGCTGCTACATTGATAAAAATGAAATAAACTGCAAAAATACTAAAAATCAATATGGGGCACGAAATGGTACCTGCAAATGTTCAACTGATCAAATCTCAATTGAAAATACAGCTGTTGGAACCAAGGATGCAGAAAGGGAGTCCAGAAATGGCAGAAAGAATTGGAGAGAGGAAACTTACAGGTTGCAGCCGATGCAGATAGAGATACAAGTTATACCAGGAATCAGCATCCATATATGAAAAGATCTGCAAAGCTTTGATTGAGATAGTCAAACTCTTACACGGAAAACTTCCATTAAAAAAAAGAACAGGCAGCTTTGTTTGACTTCTCTCCTCTAACCATTGCCTAAGTCTTTGACACAAATTCCAAAAATCGAATGACGCTGATTGTTTTTACTAAGTGTATACTTTAATGGAATTGACTATTTCACATCTATGGTATTCCAAAAGTTTGGAATAGTTAATTTTATCTTCTTTTATGGTATTAACTATTTCACATCTATGAGAATAAAATTTAAATATTTTATATTAAAATATCTTTATTTATTTTTAAAAATCATAAATTTAAACTTATAAAATTAATATTTTAAATTTAAATTAAAAAATTATTAACATTTTTATTTTTTAATTATAATATATTTAAATTATAAATAAAAAATTAATATTTTAAAATATTAATTTTTAAATTATTAAGTGAAATTTGAATGAAAAAATGAAACATGCAAATAGAGGAAAATAAATCTTATTATAATAAAAAGGTTAAGTTATTAATTATATATTATAAAGTATTTTTTAATTTAAAAATTAATTAAAATTGTTAATATTTTAATCATAATAATATTTAAATTATAAATTAAATTACCAATTATTAATATTTTAAATCAATTATAAATTATTAATATTTAAAAATAAAAAAAATAATCATAATAACATTTAAATTATAAATAAAATAGTAGTATTTTATAATATTAATGATTAAATTATAAATAAAATATTAATACTTAAATAATCAATTATTAATATTTAAAAGATAAAATTAAATAAAAATAAATAATCTTAATAAAATTTAAATTATGAATAAGATATTAATAATTTAATTGATAAATTATTAATATTATAAATAAAATAAAAATTATTAATATTTAAAAAATGAAATAAAATAAAAATAAATATTGATAATAACATTTAATATTAATTATTAAAGTATAAATAAAATATTAATATTTAAACTATCAATTTTTGATATTTTAAATAAATTATACATTATTAATGTTTAAAATAAAATAATTTAAAAATAAATAATCATAATACTATTTAAATTATAAATAAAATATTAGTATTTTATAATGTTAATGATTAGATTATAGATAAAATATTAATATTTAAAAAATAAAATAAAATAAAATAATCATATATATAATAAGAGTATTTTTATCTTTTTATTTTTTTTATTTTAAAATTATTGCTACCAACCAAACACTGTAATAAGTCATAATAATTATTATTAACTTATTTCATTCATCATACCAAACTACGTAATACTTATTCTATTCTATTCTCACGTAATAATTATTTTATTTTATTTTTT